GTCAAAAGCCGTACTCAACGAGTTAATGGCAGTGTCCAATGTAACCGCTTTTCACTATTTGTGTTATGACTCCCATGTAATAGGGGGTGAGCCTATTGCCATATACCGGGCACATTTCTAGACTCTGTTTTCATAAAAAAAACCCCAGTAATACTTTGCCCGACCTGGGAATCGAACCCGACCACTCGCCAAATGAGACAGTGTTTAATGTAACGTAATGAATAGTTTTTTATTAAGATGATGTTGAGGTACTTAGTGAAAGTTGGGGTATGTAAGTTGTGTTAAAACTTTGTGGTGTTGTGGTATGCCTAATATAAACCTCTTCTAATATTTTAACACCACACGTGTCAAAATATTAGAAGAGGTTTTATTGCTGTTTCAAGAAAAATAAATTAATCTTCAACGGGTTTTGTTTCACGAATTAATTTTGTCATGGAATTCTTATTTTGGGTATTGCTATTACATTAGTCGCTTAAAGAGGGATGCAGAATACGTAGTCATAAAAATGAATCTATTTGTTCAACGACAGACATTATTTGTGATGATTTTGTATTTTTGTATAGTGAAAGGATGGATAGCAACAATAAATAAAATGAACTATTTTAACCATGGCACTTATAGTTACCCTACATTTCAGTAATAAATGGAAATGAAACTAGTTCCAATCCACCGGATTACTGTACGATGTATTAAATTTAATTTTCATATTTGTCGATGTTTTCGACGTTCAGCGAGCATAATCCCCCGCAGCAATAATCCATTACAAAACAATTTTATATTCTCCATTTAATATTCATTATGCTTTTGAACATGGTTTTTATATTTATAAGCCTTTTCAATACAGCACGCATTGCACACAAAACAGTGTTAAATGTAAAATGAAAAAGTGGGATATTACAAAACAAACCACATAATAAGACAGGCCGCGCCGCGCGCGCCGCGAATATGAGACAATAAACGACAAAGCTGTTCGTAGCGGTCTACGTGGTGCTTCCGTAGCAAAACTCGTAGGCGACTACACCGCGCCGCCGTAGCACCGTAGCAGCGGGATACATCTAATGAGGGCACTGATATTGTACCGCTCAGCCGGCGGCCGACTCAGGCGGCCTCTATAAATTGGTTTCATGCATATTTATTTATTCAAATATGTATGAATTGAAATCTCCACGACTACTGAAATATGGCACTCGTGGACGAAAATTGAATCAACAGGGTAAATTAAGTTGACAGGCGCAGTAATAGTGTTTGAAATATAAACTCTTATAGTTGAATACGAAGCGTAACTTAAGAAAGTGCTCTCGTGGCATTATTCAAAGTATTCTTCATAACTTCGCCTTCCAGCTAGCGAACTGCGAACAACATATTTTTCATATTTTGCTCTCCTGACGTTTGGGGAAATTGGTGTTTAATGAGTAAACTTATGCATCGTAGCGTGCACTAATCTTGTCTTTTTTTGTAATAATGCACGTTTAGAAAAGTGCACATGGTGTTAAAAGTTGCAGCTTAATAGTTTTTTGATGACTTCGCCCGGTGCAAAATTGAGCGTGCTCGAGTCGGTATAAAATACTTTTGAACTTTCCGTAAAGCGTTTTGTTTGTTAAATTTTATTTGGTAATGCGGTGGCACGGTACTCCGCTGTTTGGTACAAATTGGGGGATTTGAAACGGCGTGTTTTCCTGCCAGTATTTTTGTAAATATGCTTAATGTTACAACTTGTAAGACAAAGGAAGGACAGTGAATTGGATTCAGTTTTTATTGTCTGCGACAAAGAACGTTTATTTTGTTTGAAAGTAAATATACTTTGTTAAACGACTGTGTTCGGGTGGAGCTGTAGCAACAAATATAGCGGATAATAAATGAAGCGAGACTCAAAGCTGGAAACTAATTAAAGTCGGCACGGCACGAATCAATACTTATAAATTAAGACAGTTTAACTTGCAAAGGTAATTGGGCAAAAGTTCATCTCAAATATTGACAGTGGAATGACGACGAGCTGAGCCAGTAATTCTTTAGGGCACAGTTTACATTGCCGTCTCATCGTTATTCGACCAGAGTGAACTGTTACGGCGAATTGTCGTTCATTCATTCATTCTTTGTATTAACATTCAGAACAATGAATCAGGTCGTCGTCAAAGTTTGTGAATTAAACGATTTGTAAGTCGAGGAAGCTGTAAGAATGCGGCTAATAACAAATATTTGATGTCTTTTTACGGATTGTCGATTGATTTATTTTTGTTGGCTTGATGATAACTAGATTGGTTTTATATGAAGGGGAAAACCGATTTTATTGACAGATATAATCAAAGACTATAATTTTCTTTTTTGGGTAAATATTTTCACATTCTTTATTCAAATTACATTTTACTGTAATTTATGTAATAAATCTGTAATTCGTGATTAAACAGAAGCAATTAAAGATAGAAATAGCATGAAAACGTCGATTAATAAGTAGATGATTAAATTATCATCTAGACCCACAGTATAAAATAAAATATTTACGCTTAAAATATTAGCAAAAAGGATCTAACGATGTGGGAGTAGTCCGTTTGATCTGTCAGTCATAATATTTAAGTTCAATTATTTAGTTTGACTTAAGCGGTTAAATATTAATTTAGTTAGGTTTATTTCTTCAAGCATTATTATCTTAATCTTAATCTGAAAATGTACTTATGTATAATTTTGTCAATGTAAACTTGTCAGTAATAATTTAATGTGTAATGTAAGAGCCATTTATTTTTTACTAGCCTTTACCCGCGGCTTCGCTCGCGTCACAAAAGGATAAAAAGTGAAAAGCAAAAGGTATATGTCACAAAGGTAAAAAAGCCTATGTGACATATACCAATACACACAGCGCCATCTATACCAATATATTCGTTTTCCCTCGAGAATATCAAATTTTTCGGGGATAAAAAGTACCCTATTATTTAATCCAGACTTCTAACTTTACGTCTGCAAAATTTCAAAGCAATCGGTTTAGTAGTTACGGCGTGAAAGCGGAACAAACAAACAAACAAACTCACTTTCCGATTTATAATATTAAGTAAGGATTGTAGATCTTTTGAATACTCTTTTAAATTAAATCTGAATAAGATTTTTATAATAACTATCGTGAGATATACTAAATAACTAAAACTGGCGAGTCTCTTACGTGACTCTACTGAGAAAATTTCTACTAGCTCTACTGGGTTACGGCGATGTCGCGCCCTGCTCATGAGAAAGAGCCCCTCTGTGGCCCGAAACTAGTAGAGCTTTTCTCTGTATATTCACATGAGTAACCTGCAATTTGTAGTTAATTCTGAATAGATACTTATAAAACCAGCTAATGTAAATACAAGCGACTAGCGAGTTCTCTCTGTTCTTTCATGACAAATCAAACAATCGGTGACAGATCAGGCGCAACACCAACATAGGTAAGATACGAAGGGGCATCAACAACATATTTCTAGAATTTGGTTTTACTTATGACTTTCTGTATTAGATAAGAATGTTATCAAAACAAATTGCGAACTTAAAAAATGAACTCTAATCTCAGGAATCTTTTTCACAAACCACTAAAGGCTAAGCCGTAACTTTAAAACAATCAAGTAATATATTTATTTATAAAAATAGAATAATTTATTGTAGGTACCATTTAAACAATAAATCAGCAGTCATTATTAGTCACCCTGTATTCAACACACGTCACTTGAAGCCTCACTATCGAATCGATAGTGATGTCCCGTCAATATATTCTGTATGTCGATAATCCGAAAACGTTTTGTTATGCATTAATTTCGCTAATAGTTTGTTTTGACCAGGTGTTGCTATAAGCCGATTACGAACAGTTATCAAATATAGCTCATTTGTTTCACTGCCTACTATATTAACGGTAGTTTGACGTTTAACGTGAGTTTAATGTTGTTGGGTTTGTTTGTTTGTTTGTACGTGTATTCATATGATTTCTGTGGTGAGTCGCTGATGACGTTCGAGTGTATTTTCTGTGAGGTATTAAAGGATTTATTATTTTGTTCCTGATTACATTTCTATTTTCGATTGATGGTAAGTCTCAGAGACTTATTTAGATAAATTATTTAGATTAAAATGAACATTATGAGACTGTTACTAGTGCTTCAGGAAAAAAACCTAATATAGCTTTCGGTTTCTTTTCCAGACATTAAACATTACTTTGTATTGAATTTCTATCCGTGAAAACCTGTAATTGGCTTTCTGGTGTTATTTTATTATCTACTTGTTTGCTATAGGTGGCTGTTGGTTTTCAAATTCATAAATAAATAAATAAGACTAAAACCACGACAAAGACTAAAATTACATTAAATTTATAAATATATCATACCTACAAACATTAAAAATAAACTCAATTCTGAACAAATAAATCTGGCGTCCATGTAAACACACCCTTAAGAAAGCCAGCGTCGTCTGAAAGTTACCCTATATTCTTTCGCTTACTTTATATTATTTAGCTTTGATATATTCGCAATTTAAGTTGCCTGAAACTCGTTGGAGAGCGTTCAGATTAAATTACATATTTTTTTTTGCTTTACAAACGAAAGCAAACGACTTTTTACTGTAAACAGAGGTTTGGACTAAAGTATAATGTTGTGTCGCGAAAACTCTGGATTAATATCGCTTTGTTTAGTTCTTATGTAGGTCTCAAAAGCAAGAGTCTAAGTGAAAATCGATTATAAATTACGGAACTTTTTTTTGAGAAGAAATAGAAAATAGTTCTCATTTTTCCCGTTGTAATTGACTTTATGGAAGATTAATGATGGAATATTAGTATAAACAAATGTTGTCCAGAAAACCTAAAATGTTAAAAATAGAACAAAACGGCACATAGACAGGAAACATTCAACCTATGAAACGGCAACAAAAAAAAGACAGAAGTATCACACAACAAAGATAGTCACAACCCCCACATTTAATCCCCGATTAGTGGTGGTCTGTTAATTATAATTATAACCAATACAGGTACTCAGGTCTGTTGGTTTACTGAACTTTACCTTTATTCCAATGTGGATTGGGAAGTCTGATGCCAATGCAGGTTGTGGATGAAGTGCCGGCAGGAGCGGCAGTGGAAGAGGACAGGACATCATAGCTGCGCCAACCTGCCAACAAAGGAAACAATCAAATTAGAACCCTACGATTAAAACAAAATCGATATGGCAGAGGCATTTGTCACCACGCTTATTTTTCCATTGGGGGTCGCAGCATTCGACGCGTCGCGTCCCGCGCGCGCCTCTAAGAGCCATCAGACCACCACGGATGGGGTCCAATAGGGCTGATGCCGATTCGGAGTCGCGAAGAACCTAACGGGTTACCGGCGGGCTCCGGCTCAAAGTGCAGGAAAAGGAACGGGGTGGTTTTTAGTCAGTAAGAGTCTTACACTCGACCCCGCCTGACACAGGCGGGAGCAGTAATTCGATGATTTCCACCCCTGAAAAAAAAATTGGGTGTCGCAAGAACCGATTGCATTGTAAAGAGACTAGACAATGCATGACGCTCTCGGGTAAACTTGAACCTACGGTCTCCAGCCGGCCTGATAGATGTAACGATAGTGATTAACTTTCTTATGTTTAGGAGACGTTTAATTAAGTAGGGGCTGATGATGTTTCAATCAGTATTGTCCCTTCCATATCCCCAGATAGAAAAATATTTACAATATCTCTCAAAAATTAATTGTTTAAAGCAAACATCCAGTCACTAATCTTTTAAGATGTAAATAATAGAAAAGCTTTAAAAAGAATTCATATTCAGTAATAAACAACTTGTAATATACATATACGAACCGAGACATACTTCAAAGCAAAACAAATAGTATCAACAAATAAAATTTAATATTAAACATTTCATTAATATCCTACATCTATTGCGATTAGGGATTCGCTAAAAAGTTGACGACAGTTTTAATTGCCTACATCTGGTAGATCCATTTAGGAATCTGTATCATAATTTGGTTGTACATCGATACAGGAATAGGGTTGTGAAACGTCGAAAACAATTTAGTTAGCGATGTATTCGGGAAGCCGGGATAAACTAGGCAGATATGCCTCTCTAATATTCCGTGTGGGATGTTGGCCCGTTGAAAACGATATGAATAATATATGGCCGCGAATGCACGGTCGGTCGCGGCAGATCAGCCTGCATTACGACTCAATACGGCTTGTACAGTGACGAATATAAGCGTCGAACGCACCGACAGCGACACATCATATTTTATGTAAATGTTGAAAACATTTGTTTGATTGCTCACTGCACGCAATCAAACATATTAAGTTTGGTTAATAACTTGTGTTTCGTAATTGTAATGACTTCATTTTTTGGTGAATATTTTATCTTCTAATTATTTCTAGTCGAGACAGGTCGTTAGATAAATTGACTATAAATACATAAAACCCTTCACGTCATAGCATAACATACCTAATTACATTATCTGATTAATCACAATATGCAATGTATTTTTTTTTTCAAGAAGCTTTCGAAATGATAGTGTAACTTACATAGGCTCCTAAACAAGCCATGAATCGAATGAATCAATGAAGTAATAGTAAACGAATTTCCTACAATAGCGAACAGAATCCTAATCCGCATTGATATGTCAAAACTAACCCGTACGTGAACTACACGATTGAATCCGACCGATATTTGGAGTTAGCTTTGCCATTTTGCCATTACTACAAACGGAACATATCGATGAACACACTCTACTGGTTTATCAAACCAATTGACTGACGATTTACGATAAACGATACGGCAATCTTGTGGAATTTAGCCGAATTAGGTACTAAGGAAGCGATCAAATAACAGATTCTGTCATTTTCCTGCTATGAATTGATATCGGTTTTCGACTGAAGTGGTTTCGGTTGTGTGTGTGTTTTTGTTTTTGTGTGTAAGGAAAGGATTTGTTGACAGATTGTTGTTGTAAAATGTGTTTGAGGTTCTGAAAAAGGGGTTACTGTACAAGTTTGAGGTGAGATTATTGTGGTGACATTGCATTAAATATAGTGAACTAGCGACCTGCCCCGGCTTCCCACGGTGCAATTAGAAACCTCTAAATTTATCAGTGTTTTGCATGTATTACACATATAAACCTTCCGTAAGAATAACTATATCTATTAAATCAAACCGCATCAAAATCCGTTGCGTAGTTTTAAAGATCTAAGCATACATAGGGACAGATAGACGGCGGATAGCAACTTTGTTTTATACTATGTAGTGATTAGGTAGCATGGTGAGCTGATATTAATTGGTGATGATTAGCAAAGCATCTAATTATAGCTACTCAAAATTGTAATGAAACACTAAGGAACGTGATATTTAACATTCTCAAAAAGGTACTATTAGATATTCATTGATCTTTTAATAAGCTTAAAAACAAACAAAAGAACAAAACGACCAACCCTAAAAGCCGTCAACAAAACACAAAACGGCAAAGCTTTTACCGAAACCACATAATAGAGATTGGAAATTTCGTAAATATCTAAACAAAATCAAACAAACTGTTCGATGTTAATATGAATCGGGAAGGACACGAAGTTTTAATCGAAATGTCGACCGGTTGTATCGAGCAGTTCCCAGGGGTGTCTCGTTACAATAAATTAATTATCTATACTAATTGAATGACAAAATGAATTAACTGTGCGAACTGTTTTTGATAATAAAGGGCTTACATCAACAGAAACTTGCTTATACAATAGTTTCTAGAATCGAATTGAAGTAAGAATCGAATGATTTTTGGTTCAAAGCAATCGAGATGTTTAATTAATTTTCGCTGGTAACGTTTGAAGGGTATTTTGTGATCGGTTCTGTTGTTGATGTTCTCTGTATTAGTTATTGTGGTATATTTTATTATTAAGTATTTCTATTAGTATACCCATTTTTCATCAAGAAGCAATATTTAGACCAATCGCAATATGAGTGGCGGTGGCAAGATCAAAATCAATAATGCTAAAATCTATCAGAGAATTCTAAAACTATAAAGGTGGCGCGCCCGCGTCCGATAAAAATGCACTGTTAAAATGCATTTTTATCGAAACGACAGTTGTGTGACGAATACATATTTTTATAAAGGCAAAATGTCGACAGTTGTTAAGCCTTTGACTGCCGACAGAAAACTGTTGAAGGCAAATCCTCTGCTAACGTAGGTCACCGGTGACCTACGCGGCGGTTAACGTGTTAAATGTATTAACCTAAGATAAAAGTGGAACCTCATACCCAGAAAACAGCAACCAAAACCAAAAATCCCAAAGAAAAAACAATCATTTTTCAAAAATACCCATAAGACTCCTCTAATAAAATTCCAACCACCGTCGATTAATAACGATAATGATAAATACCGTCCGTGCACTGGCCGTGTTATGTTTCCGTGGAGAAAACCGCGCTCTTCAACTATTCAGGAGTCGGGAGAAGTTGTTATTATGACAGTTACGTAACTCCATTAATTACATTAATGAATGCATTAATATAGAGTTGGCTAACTATGCCGCGGGCTGACAGACGATGTGAAATCCTTTTTGCTGCGATAAAATAAAAATTGTGCTTAGGTTAGTGGTGAAGTTTTTGGGTTAGCTTGATTTTTCAGGGAGTAATTTTGTGTTGGAAATTAGTGGTGAGTAGTACTACATATAAGTCTCGTTGCTAATTTGAATGAGCTGATGATGCGGCGATGATGTTTCTATCCTGTTGTATTGAATTTCAGTTGTCGCTATTATAAATAGTCAGGATTAGATACACTCTATAGATACCTACGTTAGTAATATATGATGGCAAAATATGATATATAGGATTAAATATTAGTAATTTTTAGAATGGAAGATTTATTTACGTAAAGCTCTTAAAACTTCTATTGAAACTGAAAGAAAATCTTTAAAGTATTCCAAATACTATGGTAACAAAATATTGAACAGGAAACATCGCCAATAACCACGATAGCAACAATATTTCCACGAAAACCCTTTCAACACCTTAATATTTATGGCGAGGTAAACCGGTTAAATCAATAAACAATTAATAAAAGAAACCTTGAGCATTAATAAATACAATTTTAAAACATTCCCTTCAAACATCATCAATTTAAAGAAAAACGATTGGCTTTCTATAATTTTGACGGATCCAATTATTTTATCGCGTCTACCCGAACGTTGGATACCCTCGAAATTAATTAATTAACTATTGGCATAATTAAATCATCTCGGCGCCGGGAAATTTATTCTTTCGAGTGGCGGACTAAGTTTCTTGCTTAAATTATAATGGCAGTGAGATCATAACGGTATGATTAACATGGCTGAAGTTTATGAAGTTTATCGTAAATAAAGGGGGGAATGTGATGATTCATGGTACTACCTCTCTGTTAGCCGTTTTGTTACTAAATTAGAGTAACGCGGCAAATCTGTGGTAATGACATTTTCAAAGTAATTTGCACGGTTCAAAAAGGAAACAGGGTTAGTTTAATGGTTCTTTTACACGGCTTTTTTATAGGATTAACTCGAAACGATGATGTTGAACAGTTCATTTTTTTTTCGTGTTTAGCTAGAGATTTCTTTGTTTAAACACCTATGTACTTAGTTTATTTTAGAGTTATTAAACAAAAAGTGGATGCTCATTTTTAATTTTTTTAACATACTTGCGATCGTAAAGGGTTATCTAAATTGAAGGCTTTTATCGCAAATAATACTTTCATTAATATTAACACCACGCAGTTAGGTACGAATTATTTAAGGACTAGGCAGAGATGTGTACACCCTCTTTTCATCAGCTTTATTTTCTACAATAACTATCATAAAACTTACTGAATTGACTAAAACTCGCGGGTTACTGACATCGCATCGTGACCGCACATGCTGTTCATGAGGAAGAACCCCTGTGTGGTTCGAAACTAGTAGAGCTTCTCTCAGTATATTAACTTGAGTAACACGCGATGTTTATTTTGCACCGCCTAAGGCTTGAACCAACAAAGCAATGAAATTAAATAAAAGTTATATAGAATAAAGCAAATTGTTTATTAACATGGCTGACACATGGAAAGGAACAAAAAGTATGTATTTTCATTGAAAAAGCAACGTCACAAACATTTTGTTGAACGATTAGTCAAACGGTCGTAATGAACGTG